GGATGGTCTCGATCTCTTGACCTCGTGATCCACCCGCCTCGGCCTCCCAAAGTGCTGGGATTACAGGCTTGAGCCACCGCGCCCGGCCGTACCTATGTCTTATTTATTCATTGGGATTGCAGAATGATGTTACTCTATCAGTTTTATAGTCATTAAAAGTTGGAATAATTTTATAGGTACTAATCTTCATATGCTATGCATTTAGGAAAGGTCAGGATACATGCTTGCTTCTTATTCACCAGTTTTCAAAGTAATTGGTTTCCTATCATCCAAAATTGTTATATATTAAAATTATAAACTTATGAGTCTTAACATTCAATGGCATCCTGCAATTATTATAAGACAATGAGAATTGGGACAAGTTGAACTCATCCTGTTCCTGGCCAGTGAAAGCCTCTTTTGAGTTTGCTACTGAGTCCTTTTGACGTGACCTGGCCTGTATCGGTGCCCTTTATACTTAAGAGGTCAGTTTTGCTGGATGTAAAATTTTTGGCTTACTCTTTCCTTGAAAAATCTATATTTTCTCTTGGCAGAAAGCTCAGTCCTCAAAAAGCCTGATTCCCAGAATGCCCTAAGGACTTCTTTAAGTCCAGCACTTTTGCTAAAATATCCTTGGTGTTGCTCCTTCTCAGGCCCTCGCTCTTTCAATGGCACCCATGTGCTGGATCGCTTATTTTCAACAGCAACACTCTGGAAGGCTTTCCATCCTTTTCTTTTTTTGCTTTATAAAATCAACCTCATTTTCACTTGGCATTGTTTTTCACTTTGCATTCCAAGTTGTCTCAATTTCTGAAAGGATTCCTGCATTTCTAATTCCTTCTTGAGTTCTGTCACTTCATTTCTGAGTTTCTCTGATTACGCCTTTCACGTTGCGTATCATTTTCTTCATGGTTTTTAGTACATTTTAAAAATTGTTTTTAGGCTGGGCGTGGTGGATCACACTTTGGGAGGCCGAGGTGGGAGGACGGCTTCAGTCCGGAAGTGTGAGAGCAGCCTGGGAAACACAGCAAGCTTTCTTTTAAAACAAAGTAAAAAACGGGCAGGCACGGTGGCTCAGACCTGTCATCTTGGCACTTAGGGAGGCTGAGGTGGGTGGATCACGAGGCCAGGAGTTCAAGACAAGCCTGACCAACATGGCGAAACCCCATCTGTACTCAAAGTACAAAAATCAGCGCTGGGCATGGTGGTGCACACCTGTAGTCCCAGCTACTCGGGGGGCTGAGGCAGGAGAATTGCTTGAACCTGGGAGGCAGAGGTTCGACGAGCAGAGATCGCGCCAGGATAGAGCAAGACTGGGTCTCAAAAAATAAAAGTTTTTAAACGTGTTTTTTTGGGTCTGTTTTGCAGGCACCCCTTCTGGCTTGCTCTCGGTGGTGGTGGGAGTACTATTCTGCTCCCTATTCTCAGCCTTCTACAGATTTGACTTTGCTCTTTTCCTGATGCTCATTTTTATGGAAAAGTATTTCATAAACATTCAGAATGGAGTATGCTTTAAGAAACCTGCTCTAACGCTGCGGTGCTCCCTCTGTTATTTTGTGACATGCTTAAAACATCGTGTCCGTTTGCTTTCATGGCTGCCCTGCCCATAACCCTCCCAGGCGCTGTGTGAACCCAGCCTCCAACCTGCTTGACTTTCTTCCACTCCAAGCAGTGGAACGTGCTTTACTTCCTCAGCGAGTGCCTTCCAGAAGTGAGCCCTGGCAGGTCAGTCCAGGGAGTCCAGAGGGCCTTAGTCTGCTCCCCTCAATCCAATCCTGTCCCCAACGTGGCCTCTGTACCCCAGCCTCCAGGTGCACCCCAGCTGGCCTGTGTCACCTGCTGAGCGCACACTGGCTGCTGTGCCTCACACTGGTGTTCATGGGGCCTCATGGCTTCTCCTGCTCTCCCATCCATCAGAAGTCTTGCATGGAACCTCTGCTTTCTCCCCCAGGCACGGATAACCTACGGGTCGGGTAGGTCTTGCAACTATTGGTGCTTTACCCCAACATGCCTCTAGTTTGGGGTTTAGGGGGCTACTTTATCACCTAGTTTTGCTCTAAATGATGTCCACAGGTTTTTCTTATTGTTGTGCTAAAAAACATGTAACCAGCGCTGCCATTTGAACCATCTGAAAGCCAGTCCAGTTGTCCACAGGTTTTAGGTTTTGCAGTCTACATCTTCCCAGCCACGCTGGCTTTCCAAAGCCCCAACTTTTCCAGCAAAACTGATTCAACTGATTTGTTTCATGATGACATTAATAAGAATGCTTCCACCACAACCCCAGAACCGGAAGACAACCTACGGGTTTGGGCTCTGCCGAAGTTCTACAGAGATGGGGAATTGCCGGGTGCGGTGGCTGGTGCCTGTAACTCCGGCACTTTGGGGGCTGAGGTGGACGTTATCACCTGAGGTCAGAAGTTCGAGACCAGCCTAATATGGTGAAACCCGGACTTAAAAAAAAAAAAAAAAAAGAGATGGAGTATTAAAGGAAACATGATATATTTGAGAATAATCACATTGGCCAGACATGGTGGCTCATGCCTATAATCCAATGGCCCCACAGTGCCCGGTGAGTGGGGGCACTGGCTTCTGCACTAAGCTGCCCTGAGCTGCTTTCCAGCCCGCCCTGTGCTTTGGCGAGCCAGCAGGCTGCTCTGCCCACTGGGCTATGACCCCCTAAAGGCCCAGGGACTGGCAGGGGAGTGGAGATAAGGTAACTCGGACTTCCAAAGGTCCACACCTATTTTATTGTTTTGGAGGCACCTGATTAAAGCAATCCTTTTTATTTAGAAAGAAACAACACAGCAGGGATCGCACCATCACGGTGATGTTTGATCTGGCTGCGTTTAAGAAAAACCACATCATGTCTTCCTACAGAAGTGAGGATCACAAAAACTGGGTTTGCTTCTGCGTCAGCAAACGTACGGCTGTGACCTGAGGACGGTCCACTCACCTGTGAAACGATGCCACACAAGCGAAAAGCTTCTCTTCGACTCTAGAACATCAGTACTCTGGCTTCAGACGCTCTCTTCTTTCTTCAATCTCTAAATTCTCCCAAGAATTTCAAACTGTTCAAGGAAAACTATTGTTTCATGATAAGAAAAAGCCATTCTTTTCTTTAAACAGTTCACATTTATTATTGATAACAATAAAAAAATCTTTTAAAGACTATCAGTATTGTATTACCAAGAGCGAGGTAATATGCTTACAAAACATTTACAGAATTTGATATGCAAATCACAGATTCAGGAAGGAAAGTGAATAAAGACACTAGTAATAGGGGGAAAATCAAAGAATCATTAGTACTAAGAAATGGGAAATGACAGCAGCATTTTAAAAGAGTGGCAAGGTACTAAAAGTAGAGACACGATGCAAATGGCATACTCAAACCACAGCTGCCCTAGACTTCCCTTCCAGGGACAGTGAGACTGGATTACTCAGGAGACCCTGGACCCTGTGAGCATTTGTGCAGTCATGTGCTGGGGGCTCTTAAAGATGCACTCAATTCTCTGGGGATGAAAGAGTACCACTCCCAAATCAACTTAAAAAGAACAGATCTTCAGCCTGGGAGGGGCAGGGGATGGCTGCAATTCAAACAGTTCTATAAACATCTCTGGGCACATGAGGACTGTTGAACGAAGCATTTTCTTGGCAGCTGTCAGCAAAATCGCCATCTGAGACATAGAGAAAGAGAGAAAGAAAGAGAAAGCAGGGACCATCTTCAGGTCCTTGTGATTTGGGAACAGGAGGCACCAAGTGGGGGCAGCACAGATGCGCTACTAGCCCTGCCGGACTTCCTGGAAGCAACGCTTCGGGTACAACTGAGGAGCTGGATCTCTAAAAGCAAATACACAAACGTAGACCAAAGGCAGGTGACCACCATGGAGGCCCAGGACAGCTACAGTGTGCAGGGAGCCACTGGGGCTGACCTGACCGGGCGAGAGGGCTGCTGGGTCCCTCCCCAGCCCTCCTGATCCCTGCACAGGGCACACACGGCCTCCACACAGCCCTCCGGTAACGCAGCGTTGAGACAGCACCACCAGGATTTCCACGCTTACCACGCACATGGGTGACAACCACATGGGGTTTGGCATGAAACACGGCCTCTGCTGCACAGAGACACATGCTGCATGTCTTTACCATGGAGGCCACCCCTATGCGGCTTCCAGACAGATTCTCAAATCACCTGCTCTTCCCATGAAAAGCTGAAACATAAGGGCCTGTGCCAGATACAGCAGGCTTTAAAATCAGGAATTAAACAGAAAATATAAAAGGCAAACAAATCCCGCATTCTGATTTGCTTCTGTAGACTCCTTTGTTACTCAAACTAAGTTTCTACACGCCCCGTCCCCCCAGCACCCGTCATGCACACATGCACACACACAGCACATGCATGCACACACACGCTTGAGTCCACCATTCCCTGTACAAAGAAGCAGGGCTCCTACAGGCCACACGCCACCCTGGCGTGGATGTGGCAGATGCTGCTTAGCTATGAATAAATCCCTGTGGACGTGTCAAACGGCAAGTGCGACTTGCTGGTTCCCAGACGGCCTCTGGCGGCCACAGGAGGACACAGAGGAGATGCCTACGCTGAGCTGACTGCAGGTGAGGGGGCGACGCACGGAAGGAAAAAGGGCAAGAACCCCCCCACCCAAGTTCACACACAGAAAAATCCAGCTTAAAAAGTATTAAAAAGATTTGAAAAGGAGGAGAGAGGAAGTAACGTTGAATGATGGCAGCATTTTCCTGGAGTCACCCGGAGTCCCCGAGAGCCCCTCCTGAGCCCCCAGCCCCACTTCAGGACAGCACGTGGAGTGGGGGGGGGTCTGCCCACAGGACAGGGTGCTCCTCAGGTGGCCTCTGAATCCTCAGAGGAAGAAGGACCTAAGTCCACAGACCATCTCGACTGTGACAGGAGGCGTGAGGGCCACGATGCAGCCTGGGGGAAACGTGCTGGCAGCTTCTGTCCCAGGTGAGGAGGGGCCATCTCTTGAGGATGTCACAGGAATTCATTCACTAACGGACAATGCAGAGTTCGTTGGAAAAATTTTTTGCATCAACATCTGGGACCGCATCAATCTTTTAACTGGTATAAAAGCTACTGTTCTTTCAAGAGAGCCCTTGTGCTCTGGTTGGATTTTATGCACAACGTAACAAAATCTATGGCTATTGAGTTAAGTTAGGATCAGAGTTAAAACTACCTGCCAACAGAGTTTTGGGATCAAATGACTACGTTTACCATCTGGAGAGCTATTTGCTATCTAGAGGTGAGAGGAGTCTGTAAAATGTCGCGCTGGGTGGGCGGGCGGGCGCAGCTGGCTGTTGGAGGAGGGTCGGCCATCCCCTCTGCACACTAGGCGCAGGCGGCACGGCACTACCTGGAGATCATGGAGCTGGAGTGGGACTGGCTGGAGGAGGTGGTGGCAGCACTCAGCTGCGAGAAGCCGCTGTGGCTGGACTCCAGGCTGGTCATGGAACCTCTGTAACGGCACAGGGCAGGGCGAGGTGAGGACTACCCTGCCCGCCGCCCGCCGCCCGCACTCCTGCTGGACTTCATGGCTCACCCTGCTCTCTGCTCACTTGTCATCCCCATCAGCACTTGTAAACGGGGGGTGGACATGAATAACCACCGCGGGACCAGCTTCCCACAGCCTGCACGCAGATGGCATCATGAGCTAAAGCAAAGGCAAAGTTGCTCGTCCCTGACACTCTTCCCTCTGCAGACATGCAGGGAGTCGCAGTGCAAACAAATGACCCCAGAGCCACTCCCTCTGCCCTCCCCCTCCAGCATCCCTGAGACCGGCCGACACTGCCTATCCTGCACATGGCACGGAACTGAACACACCTGCTGCCCTGCCCAGCTCTCTGGCAGCACCTACGTGCTGATCCTGTACACGGCACGGGACTGCAGCCTACCCCCGCCCCACCCAGTTCTCTGGTGGCACCTGCTGCGGCAAGGCAAGGGCAGCCGTACCTGAAATCCTCGGAGCCGATCACCTCAGTGTAGTACATGACTTTGCACTTGTGCGAAGAGACCTGCAGGGACGCGAGCACGTCGTCCACCCGGGGCAGGCTGCTGGCGGCGCACGCAGGCATGCTGTGGAACTTCCACTGCAGGATGTAGAAGCCCGGCCACCTGGTCACATGAGAGCCCTAAAACAAGGAAGGCAGTGGAAGCTGGCGGCAGCTCACTGCTTACCCCCAGCCTAAAGCAGGTCTGACAAGAGCCAAGGGGTCTGTCTGCAGGATTTCATGTAGCTACAGGACCATCTCAACGCGATTCAGAACCTGCTATTTTGCTTCACCAGCAGGTGGGACAATGTCCTTCTCTCCACTGAGTGTGGCCACTCCCGGGTGCTGGGAAGGCTACAGGAACAGACTCCATGTCTGTGGCCCTAATGAGGCCACCCCCACCCCACCTCCACCTAGGGAGGCAGGAGCCTGGAGGGATGGCAGCGCCGAGCTAGAGGGAGGGCTCAGCACAGCTTCTCTGAACTGGCCTCATCTTCTCTGACATGCTGCCAATCATCCAGCATGTTCGGGGCTAAAGGCACATCACCTAAACTGAGACATCAATCCGCAAAAATCACTGTCTCCATTCGTTCTGAAATTCATGACTGTGGTAATATAGCTTAGAGGTTCATTTTTTTTTAAACTGGATAAAATATTCTTTTACTCTGCCTCTAAGACCGAAACACTGACAAGGCTTACCTCTGAAAACTGAAAAGGCAGCAAAATGCTGCATCTATTATGAAGGCCAGAAGCACGCTCCGGCCCCCGCCCCCGAGAATTACTGTGAGCGAAGGCACCCAAAATAACGGGCCACAATGTTAAAAGGAACTGAAAGCATTTAAAACAAATTAGAAGGTTTGGTAATGAGAGTTAATAGCTCCCTAAGTACTCCTTCCTCTCACTTCTATTTAGGGTGATTTTCCTTTGAAAAAGACAAATGCAACCCGGTGAAATGAGGCCTGGGGGAAGGTCCTCTGAAGCCCAGCTGGCCCTGTGCATGCCATGCCTTCCCTTCCTGTCACATGCTGCTTTGGGGAAAAGTCACAGATTCTGTCCAAAAGCACTGCTAGGCTTGACCTCTTTCCTGTGAGACCCGCTCGGCTTCCCAAGTCACTCTGCTCCTCAGGCGAGCTGCTCCTCTGCAGCCAGCATCTCAAAAGCTACACAGGCTGCTCAAGGAGTGAAGCAAAAACTCGTACTCAAGACAGTCGCCCAGCTGCACAGTCACGGACGCGCGATTTGACGTGAGTGTGATTTTACCTGCACGCTTTCTCCTTCTTTGCAAATCAGAGGCGATTCCACCATGCTGTAGTCGCGGCCCAGCTGCCAGACTTTGTCTATGAGCTGCACATTGTTCCCGCCTGGAGAGGTGATGCTGTGGGCCCCCAGGGAGTCCTTTTTGGGTGGCTGTGGCGACCTCTTGGAGTGATAGATGTTGAAGACAATGTCCCCTTTGCACACGTCAAAATCCCAAGTGATGACTGAAGAGGCATCCACAATCTGAACGAGAATCTGAAAAAGAGACAGCGTCAGGCAGCCACACTCCATGAGCACAGGCCATGTGCTGGCGCGCACCATCCCCTCCAGGGGCTCCAGGCCCAGGTGCCAAAGCTGGGGAGGGAAAGGCTGAATGGGCATGGGCGGATCTCTTTGCCCAGAGTCACACCACCATCTGTCTTTCAACTGCTGGCTTCTGCCACATGTCGTGCACCAAGCTCTGTGCTCTTTGTGACTTGCACCTACAGGCCCAAGAGCTCCCGTACACCATCTTCAGACACATGTGAAGAGACCAACCAGGTCTTAGTGTAACACCAAATGCTGAGCTTGTACATGAGTGGTTCAGAGGACTGGCCTGGGCTGGAGAGCAACAGAAGGCCCTGGAAAAGGTGAAAGCTGAGGGAACAGAAGGTGGGGGAGCCTCAGGACAGTGTTCCTAGCAAGGGGAAAGAAGGGGCACGGCACCAGGCCTGCCGTGTGAGGCTGGCACGAGAGCAGTGGCGAGGCTGGTGAGTGGGATGAGCCCCTGGCATGGTGGAGGAGAGGGTGGGTGGTCAGCCCCCCCGGTGCTGAGAACCAATCGAAAACCTGAACTTACATAGTGCCGACAGAACTTCTCAGCAGGCAATGATCAAAGTTAGTTTTAAAGATTAGTGTGGGAGGAACATGAGAATCAAAAGCAGCTGTGCAGAGTTCTGCATTCACTGAAAACTCCGCCTAAGGAAGCGGCAGAGCCAGGCCCACGGCCCTCTGCCCTGGCGCCTGCCCATCAGCCCACTGCGTGCCGTCGCTGTGCCATTCAGCACTTGGCTGCTCTGCAAGCCGGGCTCCTTTGCCAACCCCACCACTGCCACTTCACCACTGAAACGCCACTCTGGAATGCCCTTCCACAGCAGATTCGATGAGGTACAAGAGTCCTGTCTAAGGACGACAGGTGGCACTACGCAGCACGGCCCACTCTTCAGCAAAGCAGCTCCCCAGGCAGCTGCAGCCGGAGACCCTGGCCCCTGTGCTGACAGGCGCCTCTTTGCTGCACTCACAGCTGGGGCCTCTGCTCCAGCCTGCATTTAGGTTTGTTACCATCTCGGGTCTATGCTTTATTTAATACCCAATGCAGAACTGAGGTTTTGACCACATGGATGTTTACAGATGCCCCCTGATTCACATGAAACCCACTGCACCCCAAGTTCCTGAAACATCGACAAGAGTGACCGCACGTACTCAACAATGAGTACCCAATGAGTACTTAACAATGAGTACTCAACAAGGTCCCGGCCTCCTGGAGCCTGCCCTCCAGTTAAGAAATTAAGACAGAGAATCCTCAAGATGTTATGAAACATGAGATTCCCCTGTGTATCTACAAGGCACACCAAATCTGTCTCTGCTTTTTCAAACCATGGCAACAGTGTTCTCTGATCCACCTGCCAGGTGAGGCGCTCAGGAAGACAGTGCAGCAGAAGCCACTGGCAGACAGCTGACCCACGTGCCACCATGGCAGGAAGCAGGCTGGAGTCAGCACCACTGCCTAAGTCAGCACCATATCCTCACTGAACACCTGCTCCGCACAGAGCCCCACCATCCTCTCCAGCAACTCTGGGCCATGAACCTGGCCCTTGAGCTGAGAAGGGAGATTCCGCTGCAGGCCCCTCCTGCTTCAGGTCACTCGTGATGCTACAGGACAAACACAAAGCGTGCATAGGAACACGGAAAGCTCCTGCTTCTGCACCAAAAGTAATAGCAAGAAAGGAACACAGACTTACAGAAATCAGAAAATTGCCCAAATATCTATAAATAACCAAAACCCAGTCAAGAAAGTAGCAAATGAGCCGGGCACAGTGGCTCAGGCCTGTAATCCCAGCACTTTGGGAGGCCCAAGCAGGTGGATCACCTGAGGTCAGGTGTTCGAGACCAGCCTGGCCAACATGGTGAAAATGTCTCTACTAAAAATACAAAGATTAGTCGGGTATGGTGGTGGGTGCCTGTAATCCCAGCTACTTGGGAGGCTCAGGCAGGAGAATCACCTGAACCCAGGAGACGGAGGCTGCAGGGAGCTGAGATCGTGCCACTACACTCCAGCCTGGGTGACAGGGCAAAACCCCATCTCAAAAAAAAGAAAAAGAAAGAAAGAAAAAAAACAGTAGCAAATGAAACTTGTTCAGTATAATCAAGAAATAAACTAAGTTCAGGAGTTAAGTGCTTCAACAAGGAAAGATGAGTTACCCCTATCTCTGCGCTTGGTGTCTTCAGTAAAATGGAGGTCAAGAGATCCAATTTCCTTTCCAGGCACTCTGATCAAGCACTTTTCTATTCTGAGAGACCTGTTCTTCCTTGTCGACATTTACTGAAACTAGGTATCAAGTGTCAACAAAAGCCTAAAGACAAAGACCAGAAAAACGGGCACTGTTCTCAATGAAAGACTGCCAGAAGCCCTGCGGGGGTGGGGGGACCGGCTGCCCGGGCGCCTTCAGGTGCAGGAAGGTGGGTGTACCTCGTGGGGGGCTCCTTTGAAGACGCTTGCAGACTGGTAGATGGTCTCAGTCCAGAGCTTGAGGTCTTCATTCTCTAGCTCTTCTGCAGTCCGGTACAGAGATTTGGGGACCAGTCCACCCTCTGGCACTTCGCACTGGAAACAGAAACAGCAGTGAAAACTGTGCAAACACAAACCAACCGCACGAAAACACAGCCGTGGCCACCAGCCAGCACCATCCCGCTGCGCTCCACTCCCGGAAGTTGCTGAGAAGATGGAAAACACTGGCAGGGGTGTAAAATACTCTGCACTACCGAGCGGTATGTTTTTAAACCACTTCAACATGTATTTCACTTTGCAAAAATGAGAACAAGTCAAAGCTGATTTACCACAGAATCATAGCAACATGTGTGAGGCACTACACCCAATTACTAAAGATGGCTCATTTACGCATTAGGAGTATTTCCGTTGCCCCGTAGAGGAAGAGCGTTACTTTAAGAAGAGTTTTGCTCTCAATAGCCACAGGCATTATTTTTATGCTATGAAATTATAGTCAAGATATAGCATCAATGAATAACGTTTTGTGTCTAAAGTCAAATGACTGGTCTATAACACCAGACAAAACCTAACGAAGAACTTCTTCTGGATTTGCCTGAAACAAGTTGAATTAGAATTTGTACATATCGTAAATCTCCTAATTAACCTTGAGACAATGACTCCACACTAAAGTCCATAAAATCCAAGTCCTCCCTTTGTCATCAGCCCTGGGAAGCAACTACATAGAAAATAAACATCTCCGTCTTCAGCCTGCAGCGCAGCATGAGTGGAGAGGGTCACAGCAGCGAGAGCATGCTGGAAAAGTCCCAGCCTGGCCCATGGTTAATAAACTCTGCCACCAGAGAGCAGAAGTGCACAGCCTCCTTTCAACAACCAGCCCGAACAGCAGCTCAGGACAGCGGTGAATAAGTCTCAGAAGGCCCACGTTTTTGGAGAGCTCAATTAACCACAGAGACATTTAACATGGCAAATACTCTACGGAAGTCAGCATGTGACAACACGGCTGTGACTGGCAGTCTGCGTCAAGTCTCCTTGTGCGCCAGCTCAATTCTCCCCGTCGTAACTGCTTCGGGATGGTTAGCTCACATAACGAAAGTTCAGAGGTTTCGACAAACCTGAGCCCGTGTTAACCTCAGAGACACTTGCTAAATTCTGGTCCCATGACTTTTACTATTACTTACTCGCTCTTTGCACTGCACTGTGATGATGCCTGTTATTTCCCGAAACTGGAACTGATGAAGTAAAAGCTACATGTGTTTTCTAAACTTCTCTAACCATTCAGAAAGTCTGAAGTCCCTTGAGTGTCCAATTCATTAGCTAAATACATGGGTCAAACCCAGTGGGTACACATCTCAAACGGGTAACTTTATATGAAGGATGACTAGAGAACCCTTGGATAAGAAGCTTCATTCCCTGCTGAGTTCAGCTGCCACCACGTGCCACGGAACAAGTCACTGGGACTTCCACAGGCTTTGGCTTCCTTAACACTCCCGTGGCACAACGTGAGCCATGGCCAGAAGGCTAGAAGGACCCCAAGGTTCTGAGCTTCTCAGAGCACAGGGTATAGAGATGGAGGCCTCTGCTTGATTACCCAGCAACTCAGTGTATTGAAAACCCCAAACATATTTTGAGAGCCACTTCCCTTCATTCTTCTACTTTAAAAATGTTATCCAGACCAGGCGTGGTGGCTCATGCCTATAATCCCAGCACTTTGGGAGGCCGAGGTAGGCAGATCACTTGAGGTCAGCAGTTTGAGATCAGCCTGGCTGACATGGTAAAACCCTGTTTCTACTAAAAGTACAAAAATTAAACGGGTGTGGTGGCGCATGCCTGTAATCCCAGCTACTCTGGAGGCTGAGGCTGGAGAATTGCTTGAATCTGGAAGGTGGAGGTTGCAGTGAGCCGAGACTGCAACACTGCACTCCAGTCTGGGGGACACGGGGAGACTCCATCTCAAAAAAAAAAAAAAACACCCAAAAATGTTATCCAGCCTGGGGCAACATAATGAGGCTCTGTCTCTACAAAAAATACAAATATGAGCTGGGTATAGTGGCGCATGCCTATAGTCCCAGCTACCTGGATGGCTGAGGTAGGAGGATGACCTGAGCCCATGAGGTCAGGACGCAGTGAGCTGTGATCTGTGATCACACCACTGCACTCTAGCCTGGGTGACAGAGCAGGACCCTGTCTCCATAAAAATAAAGGAGGGAGAGGGGTGGGTGAAAAATTTTGAGAACTGATTCAATTTAATAGTGTTTTAAAAAATACGACAGCTCCTCTAAAATGGTTTAAAGATCTGATTCACACAAAGCCCTGTGAATAAGGCAAGCTGCAACTGTATCTGATTCTACAACAAATTCTCATTTTTATTTAACAACGAAGAAATGTATAGTATCAACAATTACTTAAATGGTTCTCTTTAGCTTGATCCTGGATCAGAGAAATAGCGGCCAAAAGAAACAAAACATCCAAATGAAAAGTTCTGAAATTCATGCAGATCGACATGACCTCTCCCACCTGTCTACGGAGCCAAGTGTGCAGTTCCTCGCCTGGCTACATACCATGCACTCCCCACTCAGGAAATCTGGAATAATCTCTTTGTCAATGTAATCCAGCAGGCCTCCTGGACCCTGGTAGTCGTTTCCTGCGTAAATGAGGAATTTCCTTCTGGTGTTGTCATCAATGAAGGGACTCACCTGTGAGGAGGAGAAAGACCATCGAGTTGTATCTGATCTGAGGCCTGATTGGCAAAGATTAAATTGACAATACGGTTATGAATGGGGGGGGGTTTCAAGTTTATATACTTTTTCTGCAAAGTCTATTTGCATGGCATTAGGACACTCAGACTTTGCTTTTCTTCCCCCTTCCCTAAACAATTTGAGAAATTTTATATCTTTGCATGTTGTTTTTTTCTAAGTAGTTAAGGCTTTAGGTCACAGACATGTCTGTATGAATGCATGTGTATTTGCTTTCCAAATGGCTCACAGTTACTGCAAAAGGCATCTCAACCCACCAGCGTCCAGAGCACAGGAAACACCCTGGGTGCCCGCAGGATGAGAAGGCGGCCCAGCGTCTCGGGGTAATTGGCCTCCACCACCTCGATGATCCGCAGCAGCGCTTTGACGCCAGGTCTCCACAAGTGGCGCATGTTCAGCCCTTCCAAGTCCACCAGGCAGGTCCAGGAGCTGCAGGTTGTGCAGAGATGTGTTTCATTCAAGAGACAGCAGCACACTTAGTAAACCGTGTCTTACAACTTTTTTCCTTTTTGGTTATTTACAGCTATTTCCAAATACACAGTAATCAATTTCTTAAAATTACAGTGCTATGAACTCTGTTTATATCTATTTGTACAAAACACACAGGATCAGTGTGGTAGGACCAAGCCTGAAACTGCAAGGCTGATTGGTAGCACATGAAAATCTCTCTCAGAAGTGCTCAGTGAGCCGGCAAGCAAAGCCACAGTGTGCTGTCCTCCACGTGCTAAACCACCCCCTAACCTGCCATCAATAGGCACACAGCTGGTATTTTAACACATACTGTGTCTGAACTGCAGTGAGCTATGCTTCAACAGTGAGAGGCAAGCAGTCTCAGGAGCTGAGAATACAGCAGTGAGCAAAGAGCCCTCAAAATCCCTGTTCTCATAGAACTTATATCCCAGTGAACCATCTACACCCTTACCAATGTCAAACCTCTGAACCGCTGAACATTTTCAGAACTGTGGATTGAAACTGAAAGCATGGTTTCAGCACACAGAGTCATCTGGGTGAGGAGGAGAGGCAAAAACAGGGAAATGACGTGCAGCCCTAGGCCCATGTGGACCACACGAACCAGGCAGACAGGCCAACACACCCAGGCTGATCGACAGCAATGCTTGGGACAGGAAACAGTGTCTGTCCCTCGCCACTGGCGTTATTACATGTTCACCTCTTTTCTACCTTTTAGAGCATCTTGGAAAATACGAAGCAGATTTTACTTCCAAAAACCAACTAGAAATATTTAATTTGTTTTCTCAGTAAATTGAAAGGAAAAGCAAAATCCCACATCTACCTGATAGGCCGACCAAAGACTTTTGTATTCTCTTCACATCGTCTTAGCCCTTCTTCATTTATGGAGAGAACCTGCACACGAAAGAGGATGAAAATTTCCCATGATTAGTCTCAGGATGAAACTAATGCGTCCAGCTATGGAAGAGGGACACAAACAGCATTTTACCGCTAAGTGTGTAAACCAAAAAAGTGACCTATGTAGGTTTTCTTACACATTCACATGTGCTAAGCACATCACCTACAACAAAAAAATGTGACCCCTGAAAGAGAATAAACACTGTCATGTACAGCAAAGGTAACAGCTATCCAGAGAGAAGTGTAGGCCAGAAGAATCACAGGATGAGCAGGGGCCTCACACTGGGGCTCTGTCTTCAGAACGAGTGCATGGGAACAGCAGATAAGCAAGCGTCTGTGAGTGTGCAAACACTCTCATACCACACGCCAGCCAAGAGAAAAGGCAGCATTAGAATAGACTTCAGGCATGGCTCAAGAGATCCTCTGTTTCAGATTAATAAACCCTTCCCCTGCAATTGAAGTCCATCCATATCTTCATGTGTGAACATGCGCATGTATGGATAAACACACGTGGCGGTGGGGGCAGACTAACAGCAATACACAAGGGAATGCCAACAGTAAGCCAGGCTCAGCGTTGGTCCTTGTAACAAGGCCCAGCTACTCAGGAGGCTGACATGGGAGAACCACTTGAGGACAGGAGTTTGAAGGTGCAGTGAGTGATGATCACGCCCATGAATAGACCCTGTACCCCCATGGGGGTGTCTTTAAAAAAAAAATGTTGGCCGGGTACGGTGGTGCATACCCGTAATTCCAGCACTTTGAGGCAGGTGGATGACCTGAGGTCAGGAGTTCGAGACCAGCTTGGCCAACATGGTGAAACCCCGTCTCTACTAACAATACAAAAAAATTAGCCGGGCATGGTGACGGGCGCCTGTAATCCCAGCTACTCCGGAGGCTGAGGCAGGAGAATCACTTGAACCCAGGAGGTGGAGGTTGCAGCGAGCTGAGATCATGCCATTGCACTCCAGCCTGGACAACAAGAGCGAAACTCTGCGTCAAAAAAATAAAGAAAAAATAAAGCCAAAAGTGCATATTTCAGGGTAACGGGGTCATAAATGTGCCTATTAAGTTTGTGTTTTCAAATTAAAGGACCATCTTCTCTGGGAGGGGAGGCACAGCTGCACACTGGCCACAGCAGCGGAGCGGGGCCTGGCTGGAGTCAGTGAGATGACGGGTCAGCAGGGCCTTCAGGACGGTGTAGAGAAAGACGCCAAGAGCGCGCGTCAAGGAAGGGCCAGTGGAAAGAACGCTATCAAGAGGTCTGCTGTGAGCGGCGTCCGAGGAGAGGGCAATTCCACGTGGGAGTGAATGAAAAAGACAGAACCGTGGCCACACAGGCATCTCGGGGGAGACCCTGACTGCCACACTGACGCTGCCAATGAGAGAAACACTTTCATAACTTCTGTGTCTTCTTTGCAAATTTTAAGACTACATTAATATATTTTCAGTTCTAACGCAAAAAGCAATTCACGTTTGTTCTAACAAGCTGGTTAACGCCCCCATCCTGCTGGCAGAAAAAGACAGTGACGCCACAGTGGAGCCTGGGGTCTCTCGGCCCCGCACTTACGTATCTCAGCAGGGCCTCCTCCCCGAGCGCTCTCACCAAGCCTTTGGTGTCCATCTGCCCCAGCCTGAGCACATAGAGGGGCCGCCCATCTGCAGGGGAGGGGAAGGAATGGGTTATCAGCACCGTCCCAGCTGGCACTGAGGATACGACTCTAAGACCCTTAACAGGAAAATGCCTGTTTGCCTGTGTTCTGGGTGCGCGTGAAGGTCTTTCTGATTCTTAGAAGCGGCAATTGATTTCTGTGTGGGGTAGGGGGTGTGTGTCCAACATTTTTCCCCAAAAGTTGTAAGCGAGAAAAATAAAAACCAACTGACAAAGAGAGTAGCTGTGCAGAGTCCTGGAAACAGAAGGCTGTGCTGGGATGAGGGGAACCCGGCGGGGGCTCAGCTCAAGCTGCCCAGAGGCGGGGCTCAGTCTCCTCACTTTGAACAACTGGGGCTGCCCAAGAGCTCAGATTCTCAATGGCAAGGGAATATCAGACTAGCCAGACACTTCCATGACTACAGACAACTTTCACAGTTCCTTTCTTAGAAAATAATTATTTTTCATGTCATAGATCACTAAAAACTGAATGCAAGATTTTTAAAAGAGGGAACAGCTTCCCTCAATTCCCACTCCCGAAGAAGGACCAGTTCTACGGTGCTTCCCTCTCACTGATGCTTCCAATTCCTCCCTGCCCAGCTGGCAAACTTTGGCTTAGGAAAGAATGTATTTTTGACAGTGCAGGTCTTCCTGCAAGGCAGGGTATGGAAGGCATTCGGAGGAACTGTGTTTCAGGTTCTCATTTAAATCGCTCTTCATTTGAGATGCATCGCCACCCTTCATCCACGCCCTACTCCCAAAGCGGAACTGAAGTGCTCACTGCTGATGGAGAAAACCTGGCTGAACCATTTTCAGCTATCAAAGGGTTTAAGTCATCGAAAATTCCCTTAATTAACACTGTGCTCGCCGTCTTTTCAATAGGTCAAAACAAACTGTACTGCACTGAAGAAGTCAAATCACTTGCCCAAGGATGGCATGTGTCCGTGGGGAAGCAGCAGGCCCAGGTCCCTCCTGGCTGCCCAGGGCAGGACGGGAGTGCGCCCGTAGTGAAGTGGAGCATCAGTTTGTTCAACTTGGGAAAAGATGCCCAGTTCTCAGAGTGAAGAGAAACACACACTCAGCAGGGCCCCACTCAACCCCATGGAAGGAGGTCTTAGACGATCTCTTCAATGACACAGCAAGACAATGACGGAAACACAGACAGTTTCAACTCCATCCGGTACCTTTGTCGTGATGATGCCAGCCTCCTGCGTAGTAATCCTGAAGGACCTGTGGAGGGGTCCAGGTCTCGAGAATGTAGTCCACCTGGTGCTGCTTCCGCCACGTCAAAGACTGACACATGATCTCTCTGGCTTTGTCAATATTAAAATCCCGCGCACGTAAGAACCGAAGAATATGCTCATCTTTTGGAATCTATTAAGAGAGAAAGATGTTTCTAAGCAATGTTAAAACTTGCAAAGGGCACTTTGGGAGGCCAAGGCAGGCGGATCACTTGAGCTTAGGAGTTCGAGACCAGCCTGGCCAATATGATGAAACCCCATCTCTACTAAAAATGTAAAAATTAGCCAGGCCTGGTGGTGCATGCCTGTAATCCCAGCTACTCGGAGGCTGAGGCAGGGAGAGGATCACTTGAACCTGAGAGGTGGAGGCTGCAGTGGGCCAAGATCACACTATTGCACTAATAAAAAAGTTGCTAAGGGAATAAGACTCTAAAATTTCCACTTTTCTTTGGGAGACAGGCTCTCTCATTCTGTCACCCAGGCTGGAGTGTTGTGGCACCATCTCAGCTCACTGCAGCCCCCAACTCGAGGGCTTAAGCAATCCTCCCACCTCAGCCTCCTGAGTAGTTGGGACCACAGGCACACGCCACCATGCCCAGCTAATTTTTGTATTTGTAGAGATGTGGTTTCCCCGTGTTGCCCAGGCTGGTCTCAAACTCCTGAGCTTAAGCGATCCTCCCACCTTGGCCTCCCAACATGCTGGGATTATAGGCATGAGCCACCACGTCTGGCCTAAAACTCCCACTTCGAATCAACAGTGAGCTGCATTATTATACTATTTAAAATGAGCTGGTACCAGAAAAATCTCCCTTACTACTCTAGAGAAAATCAGCATTATCAGTTTGAATAATCTTTATAGTAATCCATTTTGGTTTCCACAAAGTACAGCAAAGGCATAAATGATACCCTAAACACCAAATGCTTCAATTCTATGAACGATCGGATCTGTGAATTACTATGCTCTGTGCACTCTTCTGTATACACACTACATTTAAATAAAAAGTCAGACTAAGAGAGCAGGACACCTGGCTTCTGAATGGAAACCCTCGTAGTGCTGGTGGCTAAAGAGAATTAAACATGGGTGACGTTGAGAAAGGCAAGATTTTTGTTCCAAAGGGTGCTCAGTGCCACACCATGGAAAAGGGAGGCCAGCACAAGACTGGGCCAGATCTCCACAGTCTCTCTGGGTGGAAGATAGGTCAGGCCACTGGACTCTCTTACACAGATGCCAATAAGAACAAAGGCATCACCTGCAGTGAGGACACGCTGATGGGGTATTTGGAGAATCCCTGGAAAAAAAAATGGTCTTCATTGGTGTTGAGAAGGAGGCAGAATAGGCAGACTTGAAAGTTTATGTCAAAAAAGCTACTAATAAGTAATAATTGGTCACTGCATTATTTATTACAAAACCAAAGTGTCACGACTTTTTTTTTTGAGACGAAGTCTCACACTGTCGCCCAGCCTATGCAGTACAGCCTAGGCTGTAGATGCAATCTCGGCTCACTGCAACCTCTGCCTCCCGGGTTCATGCAATTCTCCTGCCTCAGCCTCCCAAAGCTGGGACTATGGGCGTGCACCACCACACTCAGCTAATTTTTTTGTATTTTTAGTAGGATGGGGTTTCACCCACGTTGGCCAGGATGGTCTTGACCTCCTGACCTCGTCATCTGCCCGCCTCGGCCTCCCAAAGTGCTGGGATAACAGGTGTGAGCCCGCACCCGGCCTCTGTCATGACTTTTTAATGTGTATCATAATTTAATAGATCTGTCTCACACAGCAGAATTCAGATCATGAAGGACCATCAGAATATTTCTGTTGGGCAGTCCTGATTCAACTAAGGCTGGCTTCTGCTTAAAGAACTATGTTCAGCTTTTTGAATTTTAAGAATTCTGATTCAGAGGCCGGGCACAGGGGCTCACACCTGTAATCCCTGCACTTTGGGAGGCTGAGGTGGACGGATCACGAGGTCAGGAGATCCAACATGGTGAAATCCCATCTCTACTAAAAATACAAAAATTAGCTGGATGTGGTAGCGTATGCCTATAATCCCAGCCACTCGGGAGGCTAAGGCAGGAGAATCACTTGAACCAGGGAGTCAGAGGTTGCAGTGAGCCGAGATCATGCCACCGCACTCCAGCCTGGTGAAGAGCGAGACTCCACCTCAAAAAAAAAAAAAAAAAAGTCAGTATGACAAGAAATGTAGCAAGTTAAACTTTACTTCTGAATTCTTTACTACTTAAGTTAGACTAAGTTATAATTTAGCCACCTGTAATCTCAGCATTTTGGGAGGCTAAGGTAGGAGAATTACTTGAGGTCAGGAGTTCGAGACCAGCTTGGCCAACATGGTGGAACCCTGTTCTCTACTAAAAATACAAAAATCAGCCAGAAATGGTGGCAGAGCTAATCCCAGCTCTCCAGAGGCTGAGGCAGGAAAATAACCTGAAACCGGGAGGCAGATGTTGCAGTGCGTCAAGACTGCACCACTGCACTCCAGCCTGGGTGACAGAGCGACTCTGTATAAAAAGAAAAATTCTAAAACATAAAACTGTAGAACTGCCATGTGTCTATGTGATTGGCAACGGTGCTTTTGCCAACTCATTAGAGAGATTAGAGGAGAAATACACAAAGTTAACAATTATGAGTGATCATAAGACTTAAGATAATTAAAAACAAAAATCACAGATTAAAGAAAAAGAATACAAAAAAGCATGTTAGGCTTTCGTAATGTGGCGGTGTTGCTAACTAACACGGGAATCTTCAGATTCCAACACTGTCAATCAACAGGCCGGCTTCCCTGAATAAAGAACAAGGCCAAGGCCGTGTTCTGAGTGTGACATGGACTAAGTGTCTTCCTCCGTGGCCATGTGCTTACCAACTCAGAGGCTGGTCCATGGGGAGAATAAGAAGGGAGTGAGAGCATGAGCTACTCACAACCCCAGCTCCTGGGAAATAACTCAAAAGCATGTGGCCTACTGATGTGGGGTCATCTTCACTCAGAAGAGACTAGTTATGTGATCGTGGTTAAGAATGTAGCTTCCTAAACAAAACGGCCTGGGTTCAAATCCTGACCCCACCACTCGCCAGCTGTGAGACCTCAGGCAAGTTAGTTCACTTCTCTGTGCCCCAGTTTTCTCACATGTAAAACCAGGGAGAAAAACAGCACCAGAGAGAGCTGCTGACAGGACTGAATAAAGACCTTAAAACAAGTGTCTAATAATGGTCAGTATACAGCAAATGGTAGCCATCTGACTGCAGTGCTTTCTCGATGACTGGTGTTAAACAGTACTCAGTGATTTGGTCTCGAGTAACCAGACTGACAGAATTAGAGATTAGGCCAACTACATGCAAGGTCTAGTTTCCCGTTACTAGATGATGTCAACAACCCGCTAAATTCACACCAGGCTCTGCTCACTACATAAGGCTTATAAAAATCTACACCCTTATGAGGCTGAAATTTCACTAAAATCCTGAAAATTAAAGCTCAAACTTCTCTCATCTCTGATAAATCTCTGAACTCTTTTTACAGCTTCCGAAAATCTGAATGTATGAATATTTGGAACACAATGTTGCTTTGTAACTTGACACTGTCTGTAAGCCAGACCTTGCTCTGTAAAGTCTAAACACATGCAGTTAATCCTGCGTGATCACTGGCTGAAGGATGCAGATTCCACAGAGATACACATTCAGTGACTTCTAGACTGGAAGAAACAATGGCTGTGGAAGCCGGGTGACTATGGGCAGAAAGAGATTCCCCGATTTCACGTAGCCCTGGCCCTGCACGCTGGGCGTGGAGCCAACACTCACTTTGCCCTTGTGGGTCTCCTGGAGCCACTGGCGAAGTCTAATGAGGCAGCTCTCCTGAAGCGGAGTCAAATCGCCCAAGTATCTCTTGATGTAGTCGGCATCTAGTTTGTCTGGAATGTAAGCGACACTGATTTACAACAAAGAACACTGACGCTTTAGGCTCCCAAAGTCCTTCTGCTCAGTGGAGTTAATGAGTGGCCGTAGAGTCTAGAGGCAAATGAAACCACAGAGATGGCAGATGTAAACCAGATCCCTAGCGGACTTCAGGGACAGGCTTTGAGAGAAGTCACTGACTAAACCACAGGTAAACTTTATAACTCACTCATCTTTCCCTGGTTACCGCTGAGTTACCTCTATTGCCAAATCACAATACTACTCATGGCTATAACAGATATTAATGACTGTTTTAATTCTAAGAGAAACATAACACAAAAAGGACTTACAAGACATAAAATTTAAGAAAAAACAAAAAAATAAGCAAATCTAAATCTATTTTGAATAGGGCTACTGTGTTCAAGAATGTAAGAAATCTGGTGGCTCACGCCAGTAATCCCAACTACTCAGGAGGCTGAGGCAGGCAGATCACCTAAGGTCAGGAGTTCAAGACCAGCCTGGCCAACATGGTGAAACATAGTCTCTACTAGGAATACAAAAATTAGCCAGGTGTGGTGGCACATATCTGTAATCCCAGCTATTCAGGAGGCTGAGGCAGGAGAATCACTTGAACTCAGGAGGCGGAGGCTGCAGTGAGCCAAGATGGCACCACTGTACTCCAGCCTGGGCAGAGTGAAACTCTGCCTCAAAAAAAAAAAAAATAATAATAATATAAGAAACGCCAGGCACGGTGGCTCAAGCCTGTAATCCCAGCACTTTGGGAGGCCGAGGCGGGTGGATCACGAGGTCAAGAGATCGAGACCATCCTGGTCAACATGGTGAAACCCTGTCTCTACTAAAAATACAAAAAATTAGCTGGGCATGGTGGCGCGTGCCTGTAATCCCAGCTACTCGGGAGGTTGAGGCAGGAGAATTGCCTGAACCCGGGAGACGGAGGTTGCGGTGAGCCGAGATCGCGCCATTACACTCCAGTCTGGGTAACAAGAGTGAAACTCCGTCTCAAATAATAATAATAATAATAATAATAATAATATAAGAAACTTTTTTCCTGATAAGGTAAAATAAACTAGACGAATGAGACAGCAAAGTAAGTATAACAAAAATTCCCAAGTTAAAAAATAAAATACATCCCCAAACCATCTGCCCACCCCCATCACTTGTTGAAATCCCACAAATGGCACAGTTTGGCTGTAGAGAAAAATGTACAGAAAAATAAACACCCAGCTTGGGCTACATAGTGAGACCATCTCTACAAAAAATTTTTAAAATTAGCCAGGTGTGGGCTGGGCATGGTGGCTCATGCCTGTAATCCCAGCACTCTGAGAGGCCAAGGTGGGTGGATCACAAGGTCAGTAGTTCAAGACAAGCCTGGCCAACATGGTGAAACCCCATCTCTACTAAAAATACAAAAAATTAGCTAGACGTGGTGGCACATGCCTGGAGTCCCAGCGACTTGGGAGGCTGAGGCAGGAGAATCAGTTGAACCTGGAAGGCAGAGGTTTCAGTGAGCCAAGATTGCACACTGCACTCTAGCCTGGGTAACAGAGCAAGACTCCATCTCAAAAAAAAAAAAAAGAAAAAAGAAAAACACCTTCCTTAGGTCGGGCATGGTGGCTCATGCCTATAATCTCAGCACTGTGGGAGGCCAAGGTGGAAGGACTGCTTGAGCCCAAGAGTTCAAAATCATCCTGAGCAACACAGTGAGACCCCCTCTCTTAAACTAACAAACACCTTCTGGTATCAATAGAATAATAATTTGATATAACCCCTTTTCCCTATTAACAAAAACTCTAATAAAAAGTAAAATGAATGTGTTATAAAAGCTAGAGGACAAGGGCCAGAAACGAGAGACGGGTCTTTTCTTTATGAGTTACCTAATGTCCCAAGGAATGGGCAAAGCAAACAGAGAGAAAATGGCAACGCAGATTTCCCCAGCCTTGCTCTCAGGACGAAGCCCCGCCAGACCCACCATCAGGGGTGCCCACCACGGGCTCAGGTGCGCTGGGGCTGCTGAGGGCATCGCCACTTAGCCCCTCCTTGAGGGCAGCATCTGGGATGACGACGGCCATGGACGCTGCTTGTTTCTTGCAGGAGGATGAAGATGTCTCTGCAGAGGGCGTGATGGAAGGTGGAGTCCAACGGGGCACAAAGGTTATGCCCTCTTCTTCCAACTGGCGAAGGTAGTATTCAATGATTTCCTTTCCCTTTACAACAAAACCAGTTTAAAGGTGAGTATATGTTCAACATTCAAATTATTCATCCCTCCCAAGATTTTTCTTTTTTTCTAGCCAACAGAAGATGGTGAACCTCACAAGCTTTTTTATTGAGACAGGGTCTCGCTTTACAGCCCAGGCTGGAGTGCAGTGGCATGATCACAGCTCACTGTACACTCAACCTCCTGGACTCAAGCCACCCTCCTACCTCAGCCTCCCCAGTAGCTGAGACTATAGGCATGTGCCACCAAACCCGGCTAATTTTTGTATTCTTTGTAAAGACGGGGTTTCGCAATGTTGCCCAGGCTGGTCTTGAACTCTTGGACTCAAGCATTTGCCCACCTCAGCCTCCCAAAGTACTGGGATTACAGGCATGAGCCATTGCGCCCAGTCCCTCACAAGCTTTTAAAACACCAATAAAACTGAATTGCTACAAAATAAACAGGAAAATAAAGCCAAATGCTTTTGTTTTTATTTTACCTACTCTTTTCCAAGGTTTAGGAAATAATACCTAAAGAGATGGAATTTTTATATGACTATTTTTAAATGCTGATTTATGGTACTTGTACTCAGTATATGATTTATGTCTCCATTCAAATTCTTTCCAATGCAGTTCCCTGAAAATGAGCCTTCAAAAACCACTCCATAATCCCACACCGATACATTTCAAAACCACAATTCCGCAACAATGGATGAGCAACAGCACAAAAACGAGAGGGGAAGGTCTTCCATGGAAGAACTAATAATCCAAGGGGGGCAGCCTGCCCGGCAAGCCTCTCCCCAGGACCCAGGCCTCCTCCCGACCCTGCAGCAAGGCCTGGGCGCTGTACGCCAGCTGCTGCTGCCTCTCCCCAGTCTCCACCTCTCTCAGCAATCCCAAGCAGAGAGTGCCACGGCTGTAGCTACAGGCACCTCCTTCGTCCATTAGCAGCCAGCACAACCTGAGCTCCTATACCCAAAGATGAGGCCGGGGGTAGGGATCACAGCGTCTTCCACCCAAGAAATGCTGCATATCTCTCGCTAATCAATCCCCAGCCTTCCAAAAAGACAGGTCACCCCAGAGACTCCTGCCCACCCTCTGCCATAAAATCCCAAAATATACTCACTTTCTTAATGTTGCTGGTATATTGTTTCATTGCAATTTTTTCCACTGTACTTTCAAAACCAAAGAAAGATTTAATATCTAAACTTGCAGACTGCTCAAAACAGGTCCAATCTTCATTTTCAGGGTGAACCTGCAGATAAAGAGAAAGCACTCTCACTGACTGTACTGACAACAGAATGTCACTTGTCTGCTCCTCAGTTTAACCAGTAACCAGAAGAAACACTTACTTTACTAACAATGCTACTACCATATAGACAGCAGACGGAAAAAAATGCCAAAATCATGTTCAAAATCGGGACCAAAGCTACGCTGTAAATCGTGAAGAGATCCAAGTAATTGTTCAAAAACATTTCAAAGATGACTGTAAAAGGAGAGCTTCCTTTTCTTTTTTTTTTTTGAGACGGAATCTCGCTCTGTCGCCAGGCTGGAATCTTGGCTCACTGCAACCTCTGCCTCCCAGAGCGATTCTCCTGCCTCAGCCTCCCAAGTGCCCACCTAATCTTCATATTTTTAGTAGAGACGGAGTTTCACCATGTGGGCCAGGATGGTCTCGATCTCCTGACCTCGTAATCCACCCGCCTCAGCCTCCCAAAGTGCTGGGATTACAGGCGTGAGCCACCATGCCCTGCCTATTTTCATTTTTGGTTCATTCATTCATTCAACATACTCACTGAACAGTCTTCCATTATGAACAAAAAGGTACTGGTCTTGGAAGCGTTCAACAGTCTAACAGAGGAGACAATCAGCCATAAACACAGTATGTAAGAAAATTAAATATAAGTAAGCGCTGTCGAGAAAAGAAAACTTGGAGCAGGTTAACAGAACCAGGGGTGAGGGTCAGGCGTGGTGGTTCACACCTATAATCCCAACACTTTGGGAGGCCAACGTGGGCGGATTGCTTGAGTCCAGGAGTTTGAGAGTAGCCTGAGCAACAGAGCAAGACCTCATCTCTACAAAAAAAA